TGTCAGGAGTGGGATTCGAAGCCACGCCCACATCAGTGGACCAGAACACCCAAAGCTCTGCATCAGAGCAAGTATTTACTTGAATCTGGCGCTTTACAGTGCTCGGCCATCCTGACACATTCCGCCAGCAGCAATATAATTGATTATATTTCTTTTTTTTTAATCAAACTGTTTTTTTTTAATTTATTCAATAAATTAAAATTTTTCATTGGAAATTTTAAATTAAAATCTTGGAAAAGTAATTTTAAGAAGTATACATCTCGAGAATTTTAAGGGGGAATATGCCTCAACCCATCTTTCAGGAGCGGGATTTGAACCTACGCTCACATTTGCGGACCAGAACATGGAAAGCTTATCATTAGAGCAAGTATTTGCTAGAGTCTGGCGCCTTAGACCGCTTGGCCATCATGATGCGCTGAACTGACAGTTATAGGTTTGGGTATCGATAACGTTTTCTAATAATGGACATTTATTAATTCATACAATAAAATGAAAATTTTTATATAAAATATTGAAAGAAAAATCTTGTAAAGTAGTCGATTTTTAATAAAAACAACTATTCATCACCCCATGTGTTAGGAGTAGTATTCCAACCCACACCCACTTACGGAGTCGCTAACTCGCCAAAATGTTTACCAAAAATGATGCCTACTTTGTTCTATCGCCAACAGTTCGCCAAGTTTTCATTGAATCGGTATTAGTACTTAGGTAACTGAGTGGTTGAATATTAACATTGCATTGTTCAGCTACACGAGGTCTTTTGTCGTCGGACCTCGTAATTTTGAACCATGGTCAAGTGATGAGGACGACACCTCCATTTCGAAGTAATTGAAAAATTATATTGAGATGAACTGTTGCTCTCTCTCTCTCTCTTCCATTTATCATGATGATACAAATGCCAGCATCTTTAAATAAATCGAGAACAAAGCAAAAAAAACTGATTTTTTTTTCTCAAACAAATTCTATTCAAAATAAAGGAATATTTTATGCGAGCAGAGGCATTAATAAATTCACTTCTAATTATTCCAACGAGTGTAGAATAATGAATTCTTTATGATTTATTTATTATTTATAGCTTATCGCAAATAAATTTATTGTTTTCCAAAGTTTAAAAAGTGTAAATGATTTGTACGGGTCTATCCGCGTTCTTCCTACTAATAGTACTCTCGGAAAATAAAGGGTATTTAGAAATTTTTCTATTGAAAACCTTCCTCCGAAAAAGAAGATGTGATTATGCAAATCAAGGTTTGTATATAAAGATTAACTTTCAAGATCGAAGGAGAGTGAGGTTAGCACTGCTAAAAGTTAGTAGTGATTGATTAACGTGAAACTATAGGCGAGATTGACGATTTGGACGATTAATCGTTAAATTAGATTAGGTCGATTTGAATTATTCCCTGAACGTAACTTATCCGATTTCTCATTTATTCCTCTATTATCTCATCTACCTTGCTATTGCTCCCATATTTAACAGTTGGTACATTTTATAGCTTGGGTTATCGAATTTGTGTCTTTGTTGAGAATTGTTGGGTGGATCCTAGCTAAGCACACTGCTTGGCGACAAAATTTTGGCGATAAAGTTTACAATATTGCAACCCTTCCTGATTGTCCGGTCCTGTGACTAAAATATGACAACCCTAAAACCGGTCAAGCAAAAAAAATCGGTTGAAAAGTGGACATCGTCCATTTTCGCCCTTGACCCTGCTGCAACACGTCGAGTTCACCCCTGCTCATACTTTCTTCCCCACGTGTTCCGATTTTTGGCTTGATTTTGCACCGGTTGTTAGAATGGCTTGCGAAAGAAAATTGCTTGAAAGCTAGGTAACCACAGGATTTTTTGTTTTGCTTGGAGAACAAGGGAATAAGGCTGTTTTAGATTGGGTTATGAAAGAAGGATTAATTCCCTCCAGATATGAGTGTCCGAAGTGTAAAAAGGATATGCGTTTGGTTGAACGATTGATGGTTTTGAATGGGGTTGTCGAGTACAGTCGAAAGAGAATCCCCACTTTGTTTGCCGGAGTGTAAGAAAAGGTACGTGATTTAGTGATAGTAGATTGAGTATTTGTACGATCTTGCGATTAACCAGGTATTGGTTTGGCAAGAGCATTTTAAAATGCTGTTTTTCCTTTATTTTACTGCCTTTATCTCGCAGAAATGCTCTTTTTGCCCTTTTCTTTATTCTATGCTTTTGTGTAAATACATGTGTTTTCAGCGTCCCTGGCGCCATTACGGAAACCCCGTTTTTTAGGATTTTTGAACAGGAGCTGAGACCGTCACCCCTTTTCCTTCGTTTCCGGCCCTGGCGCCAATACGTAAACCCTGTTTTCTTAGGGTTTTTGATCACCAGCTAAGACCGTCAATCCCCGATTTTTATTCGTTTTCTTCCATGACGTCATTTTTTGAAACATGGGTTCTGGGCACCATTTGGCGGGGGAAAAAATGGTGCCAAAAACAGCAGTGTGCCAGACTAGGATTTTTCCGAATTGTTAATAAATAGAGTTTGCATTGACTATGGCTAATCTTCCTTCTGACCCTTTCACACTAATTGATGGCTCAGGCCGTCCATTACAGATTGAAAGCTCCAAATTAAATAATTTATTAAAAATAATAGTACACCTGTAAAACAATATTTCTGAGTTGCTTTTTCAAATTTCATTGTTTCTAAAATGCAATAAACAGTCCCATGCTCTTTCTCCTACATATGACTTGGGAACTTTATTACAAATAACATATATTGCACTCCATAATTTCGTCACTTGCGCTTGAAGGAAGGAAGGTTCGTTCTGGGTACCTTCCGTTCCGAACGAATACGAGTACGTTACCGATCACGCCAAGACGACCGTCTTCGCGTGATGTTGGTACTAGTTCATACAGATGTCGCTCCACCACATACTCCCCTGCCAGTGTTTCGGCGAATAGGCGAATGAACGATGCCATATTTGTGGCGAGCATGTAAGTGGTTCCGTCACTTGGTCGGTTGCGTCATTCGTGCGTGACGGCTTGAGAATTGCGTCATTTGCGTGACAGTTTAATTGTGTCATTTGTGTGAGATGGCTTTGAGAAGTAACGGCTTATTTGCGCCAATATTTGACGGTTTGGTTGCTTTTGAGGTGGATAGATGGCGCCACGACTGCGGCGCGTGAAGGGTGTGGTTCATATCACGGCCAGGGCCACCAATGAAGGAAGGTTCGCTCTGGGTACCTTCCGTTCCGGATGAAAATGCGAGTACTTAACCCATCACGCCAAAACGATCATCTTCGCGTGATGTCGGTACTAGTTAATACAGATATCACTCCGCCACACGCTCAATGCGCACAAAATGAAACTTTAAAATTTCAGTAGCTGATAGACCCATCCTTCGCATGGATGAATTGAAAAACATAACAATCGAGATAGAAAGAGATGAATTTAATGGGTGTGAAAACTTAATATTTCAAATAACTTTAAGTAAGTTACAAATCAAACTCACAGAAAAAGAAAGATCTAGCAAATAAAAAATCTTAGAAGGGGAGGGCACAACTAAGGAAATTCATTTGGGGGTGAGACTACGTAATGTAGTACTTCTTTAGGGGTGTTCAATCCTTAATTTATTAGCGCCGAAAGACCTGTCAATTTGTAGAAAATAGCATTCGAAATCCATAGCTTTTATACAATTAAGTTTTAACCAGCGTTCGAGATATAGCGGCATAGGTGGTAGCGTATCTGTATATCACGCACTCGACCAATGTTCGAGTCGCGCGGTTGCGTTTCTTTTTGCTTTATTTTTTCAATTCATTTAATAATTTTTACAATTAAATAAATTTATTTAAAAAAGATTTATTAAATATTTTATATAATGATAAAATAATTTGATTAATAATATAAATAAGATATATATTATTTTTATTATATTAATTACAAAATAATTTTTTTTATAAATAGTCATAATAATATATGTTAAATTATTATGTAATATTACATATAATATGTTATTTAATATATATATTATATTTATATTGTAATATATTTTTATAATAAATATTATTTATTAATATAATTATACTTATAAAATATAGTATAAAAATTTATATATTCGCAGTAATTATTTTACTTTTTAAAATACGAAATAATTGTCTAAAATATCTTTTAGTACTTAATAAATCTTTTTAATAAATTTATTTAATTGAAAAAGTAATTAAATGAGTTGGGGTGTTGGGGAAGAAAATTCAAGTCGCTCGCGCGGCTCTAACCCTATCCGCCCGCGTGAAAAGCAGGTACGTTGAACCTATGCCACTGCATCGATAGAGGTAATTAAAACTTAATTGTATAAAAGCAAAGCATGAATTTCGAAGGCTATTTTTCCAAATTGACTGGCCATTCGGCACTATTACATTGAGGGTTGAACGCCCTAAAAAGGAGTACTACTATTACACAAAGTCTCATCCCCCAATGAATTTCCGTAGTCGTGCCCTCCTCTTGTAAGTCAACTAAATAAATAAATCTGAACTATACCCGGTATTATACCATACCTAGTTCATCTGTCTCTCAGACAGTCAGTATATAAGTATTAACTAAATCAAACATGGAAATATTATATTTATATTTATATATATATATATATATATATATATATATATCATATCAGCAAAAGGAGCTCTCAGCGGATTTCTACTTAACGAAAGATTTGGTCTCCAGAATTTTAAGTTCCAAAAAAGATTTAAAGTCTCTACATCTAATATTTCTGGAGTTATCGAGCTGAGCAAATGAGTTGCTTTTCTAGTAAATTCTTAAATGAATAGATTATTTTTCCCCGGCCCAAGTCGGTGGATTTTCATGATGCAGAAAATCGACAGCGTCCAATTATGTGGCGTGTAAAAAATCCCTTGAGTGCCTGTTTGCCTTGGGTGCTCTAGGCAAAATCAAATTCCTAGAACAAAGTTCGTATCGTCAGAGCTCAGCGGCTTCCCTTTGACGGAGAAACTGGGAGTCAAAACTACTTCCGGAAATTGGTATCGCCTACATGGTGTCGCACTAAAAAGTTATACTAGTGCCTGGGGAATGTACTAGATCTTCAAAGGTAAAAAATACCAATCAGCAGCCCCATTGAAAAAAAAAGATTATTTGTTATGCCCCCATA